GAGTTTCCATTTGGGTTAAGGTCATAAAATGGAACTAGATCAGTAGAATGCATTGATTCATGCAGGTACATACCAAAAGAATCCCTTTGGCCACACTTACCTGAATTTGTGGATGGTGCTCTGAGTCACATTGTGAACATGGCAAGAGTTTTGGGGGAGCAAGTGAATGGTGGAAAGCCAACATGGCCTTATGTTATCCATGGTCACTATGCTGATGCTGGGGAGGTAGCAGCACACTTATCTGGTGCATTGAATGTGCCTATGGTGCTCACCGGTCACTCGTTAGGCCGGAACAAGTTTGAGCAGTTGCTGAAGCAAGGGAGGCTCTCTAGGGAGGCCATAAATGAAACCTACAAGATCATGAGGAGGATTGAGGCTGAGGAGTTCAGTGTGGATGCTGCTGAAATGGTTGTCACTAGCACAAGGCAAGAGATTGAAGAGCAATGGGGACTGTATGATGGGTAAGATCTCAAGTTAGAGAGGAAGCTTAGAGTCAGGAGAAGACGTGGAGTAAGTTGCCTTGGAAGACACATGCCAAGGATGGTGGTATGTATGCACAATGTCACTATTTGTTTCATGGTTTTATCTTGTCAAACAATGTTCACAGATGCTGATGTGTGTCCTTCTGCTGAATCTTTCATCAGGTCATTCCACCAGGCATGGACTTCAGCTATGTCACAATACAAGACACAGTGGAAGGTGAGGGGGATCTCAAGTCACTCATTGGATCTAACAGAGCTCAAAGCAAAATGAACTTGCCTCCAATTTGGTCTGAGGTCTTACAATCTTCCCTCCAGTCACCATTTTTTCACTACAGCAATTCTTGCATAGCATTAGCACATTGCTTATAAGCACAACAAATGAAAAACTGAGTTGTGTTTTGCCATGCAGATAATGAGATTTTTCACAAATCCTCACAAACCAACAATATTAGCCTTGTCACGCCCTGACCCTAAGAAAAATGTCATGACTTTGCTCAAGGCCTTTGGGGAATGCCAAGCCCTAAGGAAACTAGCTAACTTAGTGAGTTTTCCATTTCTGTTTGAAAAACAAAATGTAGATTTGTCATATGATTATCAGCTTGTGATCGAGTGACATCTTTCTACTCTTGTGGCAGACCCTCATACTAGGCAACAGAGATGACATAGAAGAAATGTCTAACAGCAGCTCTACTGTTCTTACCATGGTGCTCAAGCTCATTGACAAGTATGATATGTATGGTCAGGTTGCTTACCCCAAACATCACAAGCAATCTGAAGTTCCAGAGATATATCGTCTCGCTGCAAAGACAAAGGTGCATTCTTTGAAGTAAACTTGAAAACACCTAATTATGTATTGACTTTGATAGGATGAGAAATCAAGTCTTTGGTGGTATAAATAAACTACTTAGAGGAAAATAGCAATATTTCAACTTGATAGGCAAAGCAGAGAAAGCAGGCTACATTGATGAAAGTATAAAAACTCAAATTCAAAATACTTGGAGCTTAGTTCTCAGTCCTATTGAAGTCATTTGTCAAATAATCAAACCAAAAATGTCTTGATTGTTGTCTGGACAGCTAATCTGACTTTATCTGCCTTGTCTTTTTGGAACATTACATTTGCTAACAGTAACACAGTGGTTTTGTCTCTTGAAGGGAGTTTTTATCAACCCTGCCCTGGTGGAACCATTTGGTCTCACACTAATAGAGGTAAATCGCTGAACTAGATCTTAAGATGTTAATTTTCAGATGGCTAATAGGGTCAGTGACATTCAGCTTATGAAATATGATTTACTCAATTCACTATATGGCAAATTACATTGTTTCCTTGGTCTTCCCCCATTTCAGGCAGCAGCTTATGGTTTACCTGTTGTTGCAACAAAAAATGGAGGGCCAGTGGATATTCTAAAGGTATAGTATAAATTATAAATCCATTTTCTCCCATTTTTACTTCTCACTTACTACACCTTTTATTTGTATTCTCTTTAAAGTATATATTTATTTATGTTAGTTCATCATGTGTTACACATCATTGCAGGCACTCAACAATGGACTCTTGATTGATCCACATGACCAGAAAGCCATAGAAGAGGCACTCCTAAAGCTTGTTGCAGACAAAAATCTTTGGCTAGAATGCCGCAAAAACGGCCTAAAAAACATCCATCGTTTTTCATGGCCTGAACACTGCCGCAACTACCTCTCCCATGTTGAACATGGCAAGAACCGCCGCTCCACCTCCCTCTTGGAAATTACACCAATTGCTGAAGAACCAACAAGTGACTCATTGAAAGATGTAGAAGACATTTCTTTTAGATTCTCCACGGAAGGGGACTCCAAGCTGAATGGAGAGACGGAACCTGCAGCAAGGCAGAAACAGATTATTGAAGCAATCATGAGCAGGGTCTCTTCCACTGGCAATTCTAATAACAGTTACTTCCCTGGTAGGAGGGAAAGTCTTGTGGTAGTAGCTGCTGATTGTTATGATAATGATGGAAACTTGGCTAAGGCTTTTCAGACCATCATATTGAATGTAATGAAAGTCGTGCGACCAGGCAGAATTGGTGTGGTGCTGCTTACTGGTTTAAGTTTACAAGAGACAATTGAAGCATTGAACAGCTGCCAAGTGAACATAGAGGAATTTGATGCTGTGGTTTGCAACAGTGGAAGTGAAATGTATTATCCATGGAAAGATTTAATGGCCGATGCTGATTATGAGGCCCATGTTGAGTATGCTTGGCCAGGTGAGAATATTAGCTCAACAATACCAAGGCTTGCTAGAATTGATGATGAAGAGGAGAACGACATTGTAGAGTGTGCAAGTGCTTGCAGTTCAAGGTGCTTATCCTATAGTTTGAAAACAGAAGCCAAGGTAAGATAACAGGTTTCTTTTCTTAAATATTGTAACTTAAAATAGAGACAACGGTTAATAAGAGAATTTTAAGCCTAATTTAATCTCACAAAACCGGCTTGTAAGGTAAGTTTGTACCTACTTATATACTATAAATTAGCCTGTCGATGTGAGACTTCCAATATATCCCTCATGCCGAGGTATAAACATATCGAACGTAAAACTAGATATTAATAGGTGGTTCGATAACGAGTGAAACAATATGTTCACACAAACCTCGTTAAGATAGACTCTTACCTGGCTCTAATACGATGTTAAGAAATGAACTTTAACTCTAACAAGATCCAAGTGAATGGTTAAACTTTTCTTAAATGTTGTAACTTTTTAAAGTTGTGATGACTATTTGCAGACCCGGAAGATAGATGAGCTGCGGCAAAGGCTTCGAATGAGAGGCTTACGTTGTAACATTGTCTACACGCATGCAGGAGGGAGATTGAATGTGGTACCACTGTTTGCTTCAAGAAAGCAAGCACTAAGGTGAGGAGGAACATTGCTGATTCTTCCCAACACAACATATATAGGAAATTCAAATGCTGATAAAACTACATGTGAAACTTATGATGTTGTTGTTATTGTGTATGCATTTAGGTACCTGTCAGTTAAGTGGGGGATTGATCTAGCGAAAGTGGTTGTATTTGTGGGAGAAAAAGGAGATACAGATTATGAAGAACTCATGGCTGGCATACAGAAGACAGTTGTTCTGAGAGGGGCTGTTGAATGTGGCAGTGAAAGGCTTCTTCGGAGTGAAGACAGTTACAAAAGAGAAGATGTGTTCTTCCAAGATAGCCCCAACATTGTTTATGCAGAGAAGAGCTATGAGGACTTTGATATTTCAGCAGTTCTGGAGCATCTCAAAGTATCATGATTTCTGTTTTGGTCACTGTTTCTAAATGTCACCATAAACATAGAAATAACTGCAGTATACATAGTACAATGTATACCTCAGCTTCAATAACACACAACAAATACATCTTCAATTTGGTTTTTCACTTT